GGGCTGCTGGATTTGGGATAGAGTGGGGGGGACTGTGTTAGGGGATGTAGGGTGAGGGGTGTGTTTGGGCACAGGGGTGCTAGGTTGGCAGGCACCGGGGAGGGGGGAGGATCGAGGTTTGCAGGCCCTGCAGTTTGGGGGGCCCTGCCACAACTCCCAGCTCTGGCAGGAGAGGGGTGCACTGGGGCAGGGGGTGATCCATGCCCATCCATTTTGGGGCAGGCCAGGACCCTCTCGGGGGGGGGGCACCCAGATCCCTCCTGCCTGTCGTTCCTGTGCCCAATATGTGTCCCTCAGTGGCAGTGTGGGGGGGGTGTGCGGGGTGCTGGCAGGGTCCCTGACGCCTGTCTCTCTGGTGGGGCCAGTCCAAGGGTCGCGGCCGGGGAAGAACGTGCAGCTGACGGAGAACGAGATCCGGGGGCTGTGCCTGAAGTCACGGGAGATCTTCCTGAGCCAGCCCATCCTGCTGGAGCTGGAGGCACCCCTCAAGATCTGCGGTGAGGGCTGGCTGGGTGCCGCACCAGCTGGGCACAGGCTGGGCGAGCCCCCGGGACGGGTGTGGGGCCAGCTGGGGGTCCCTGTGCTTCCCTGGGGACATGGATGGGCAGCACTGGAGCCCACTGTGGGGTGGCGTAGGGGACTGCGGGGAGCTGGGGTCCCATGCACACCCTGCGTCCCCCCCCAGGCGACATCCACGGGCAATACTACGACCTGCTGCGGCTCTTTGAGTACGGGGGCTTCCCCCCTGAAAGCAACTACCTGTTCCTGGGCGACTACGTGGACCGGGGCAAGCAGTCACTGGAGACCATCTGCCTGCTGCTCGCCTACAAGATCAAATACCCCGAGAACTTCTTCCTGCTGCGTGGTAACCATGAGTGCGCCAGCATCAACCGCATCTATGGCTTCTATGACGAGTGTGAGTGCTCGGGCTGCGGCTGCGTCTCCCCACAACCCCTCTGCCATCCCCACGCACCCTGTAGCCGGTGTCGTCCCTGTGCTGTCCTGCACCAACCCCGCCTAGAGCTGCTGTGACCAGGGGGGAGTCCTCCTGCCACCCCCATATCCCCCTGCATCCCCTGTACCTTCCTCATACCCACAACCAACCTGTACCACCCCAGTGCTCCCAGCACCCTCCACATTGAGTGTCCCACGCCTACCCTGTGCCCCCCCTGCCAACCACCTCTATGAGCCTGCACCCCGAGGAGACTCCCTGCGTGAGGCAGTGCTGCCCCATGGCATTGCCCCCGTGCAGCTGGAGCTCTGCTGGGGTCGGTGGGCCTCTGGGCGGCTGCGTGTGCTTCACCTGGGGGGGGCACGAGCCCATGGTGGGGGCTCTTGGGGAGCCCTGCACACCCATGTAACCCCAAAGGGGCAACACTAGGCACTCACACGCACTGCCTTGCAGGCAAGCGGCGATACAACATCAAGCTCTGGAAGACTTTCACCGACTGCTTCAACTGTTTGCCCATTGCCGCTATCGTGGATGAGAAGATCTTCTGCTGCCACGGAGGTGGGCACAGCCCTGCCTGGGGCTTCGGGGAAGCAGCCACTGGGGGCTGGAGCGGGGGGACGGGAGCTCTGTGCTAATGCTTTGAGGGTGCCCTGGGGGGACAGGGGCTGTTGCTGAAGAAGCAGGGCCTGACGCGGCCCCCCGCTTCTCGTAGGGCTGTCTCCCGACCTGCAGTCGATGGAGCAGATCCGGCGGATCATGCGCCCCACGGACGTGCCGGATCAGGGCCTGCTCTGTGACCTGCTCTGGTCCGACCCCGACAAGGATGTGCAGGGTTGGGGCGAGAATGACCGCGGCGTTTCCTTCACCTTCGGGGCAGAGGTGGTGGCGAAGTTCCTGCACAAACACGACCTGGACCTCATCTGCCGGGCGCACCAGGTACCGCCACTGGGCATCTGGTTGCTGGGGGAAGTCGGGTGCACCTTTGGGGTGTGGATTTGGATCCCCAGCAGGTACTGGGTATGGGGCAGGCGTTTCTATCCCGTGTATTTGCCCCTCAAGGGCAGTATTTGCTCTAGGGGCTGCCTGGGTCCGTACAGGTGGGATTCCAGCGAGGTGTTTGCCCCCAGAGGGGGATGTTTGACCTTGGGCATGCTGGGGGGCTTGTCAGGACTCTGTGGATAGGACCCCTGGGAGTATATGCCCTAGGGGATGGGTATTTGCCCCGGGGGTGGGTTTTTACCCTCGGGGCACCTGGTTCAGCACTGTCTCCGATGCCCACGCAGGTGGTGGAGGACGGCTACGAATTCTTCGCCAAGCGCCAGCTTGTCACCCTCTTCTCGGCGCCCAATTATTGCGGGGAGTTCGACAACGCAGGTGCCATGATGAGCGTGGATGAAACACTTATGTGTTCATTTCAGGTGGGCTGGGGGACATGTCAGCGGTGCTGGGGGGTGGCAGGCAGGCAGGCCCGTGGTGACCGCTGGGGGGGGCTGCGGGAGGGCCCCGGTTCCTGCAGGGAGGGGAGGCTGGGGCACAGGAGGGAGAACAGAGTTGGGGGGGAGCCTCCACCCTCAAGGTGGGAGGGAAGTGGGAAGCTGGGGCAGGAGGGGGCACGGCGTGCGGCCTCCCCCCACTCACCCTTTCCCCTCCCCTCCCCCAGATTTTGAAGCCGGCTGACAAGAACAAGGGCAAATACGGGCAGTTCAGCGGGCTGAACCCCGCGGGACGCCCTGTCACCCCTCCCCGCAACTCTGCCAAAGCCAAGAAATGAGCCGCGAGCCACCCCCTCCCCGGCTGGGGCCCGGCCCCCCGCCCTCAGCATCAGGTCGCTTTTCTTTCGACTCGTTTTTTATTTGTAAGATCCTGCCCCCCCCGCCACACTCCACCGAACCAAATACAGCCTCGCCAGGGCAGGGACCGCCGGGGCGAGGGGGGACCCCAGAGCCCAGCCCTGGGATGGTAGTGGAGGGGTGGGGCAGGAGGATTTTTTGGGAATAAACTTGTAATGGGTCGTGGGGGGGTGCCTGTGTTTGGGGGCCGATACTGGGTCAGGGCAGCGCCCATCCTGGTGGCTGGACGCTGGAGGGGTGGGGTGCCGGCAGCTCAGCACCCTCAGGGCTCTCAGTACTCGCCATCGCTGTCCTCCGCCAGCACCTCCAGGGTGGGGGCCAGGCCGCGCCCCCCTGGCGTCAACACCGAGCCAAAAAACAGAGAGCGAAACTGTGGGGAGAGGTGGGGGTCAGGAGGGGGCTGTGCCCATCCCCCTGCCCCCAGGCACGCCCGTGCCCATCCCAGACCTTCTTGTGAGGGGGGGTCCCCAGCACAGCTCTTTCCTCCTCCTCCTCTTCCTCCTCGGTGTCGCTTTCGGCTGGATCCGGGATGCACAGTGGGAAAGTGGGGATGGGAGGCACCCCCGAGCCCTCCTCATAGGTGCTGGGTTCCATGGCAATCATGTAGGACTCGAGGTCATCGGCGAAGTCATCTGATGGGGCAGGCAGGTGGGACACACTGTTGGGGAGAGAGTGAGTAAGCAGGGGCAGAGTGGGGACCGTTCACTCTGGTCCCTACTGATGGCAGCTGAGCTGGGACTGTCACCTCCCCTGAGGCTGACACAAGCCCCGCTCACCCGTTGGCCGTGGGGGGCTGCAAGTTGCTTTCTGGGTCTGAGAGGGTGGCCAGCACCAGGTGGACCTCCAGCACTGCGTCTTCCAGGGTGAAGATCACTGGCCTGCGGGCAGAGAGGGCCTGAGGTGGGGGGCCAGGGAAAAGGCTGGCACAGGGGGGCCAGGGGGCCCGCTCCTACCTGCCAGGCACGTCGTAGTGGACGGTGAGGGGCAGGTTGGAGGCCTCAGCGAAGGTCAGCAGCCCCTGGGGACAAAGAGGAGGTTGGGGGGGGGGGCTGAGGGGTGACATGGGGCTGGGGAGCGCTGGGCAGGAACTCACCCGAAACTCCTTGAGGCAGAAAGTGATGCGGGAGCCCGGGGCCACGGCCGCCATCTGAAACTCGTCCTCGGCCAGCCACAGCTCCGTCACCATCGTTTTCCCTGGCTCTGGGGGGGGTGCGTGGGGTGGGTCAGGGGGCTGTGCTGGCGCCCCAAGGCCAGGGAAGGGGACACACACACACAGGCCCCACCGCAGGGCTCACCTGCTTCGTCCTCCACGTGGTTCCGAAGGCTGATCTTGCCCCCAGGGCCAGCTGCCAGCGTCACCTCAGCCAGCGTCTGGGGGAAGTGGACCACGGCCTCCGCTAGCACCCTGTGGGCACATGGGGGGGGGGCACACCTACAGCTAGAGCACCCTCCACCTTCTTCAAGGGTCCCTTCTTCCAGCCCCCTGGCCATCCCAGTGCCACCCCAATGTCCCTTTTGCCCCCCCACCCCCCTGCCGCGGTGTGCCGCTGCCGGTCCCCACTCACCGTGCCGGGGCGCAGAGGCTGCTGGCGCAGCGCTGGGTGTCGAAGACGGCCTGCAGCCGCTCGCACTCCTGGAAGGTCAGGTTGTGGGTCTTGGTGACGCCTGGCAGGGAGGGCACCGGTTCAGCGGGACAGGACGGCAGCGCCGGCGTGTCCGTGTGTCCCCCTCCCGTGCCGTGTCGCCACCGGCACTCACCGTACTTGCAGTGGAGCTGCACGACGAGGCGGCTGGCGCGGGGTTTGAGCAGGATGAGACATTTCCCCACCGTCTTCTCCAGCGAGGGCAGCGAGCGGAAAACACCCAGGAAGGACTTGCGGGGCAGAGGGACAGATATGGGAGAGGGTCACCCTG